TTCTCCAACCCACCCCCACTGCAAATAGCCACACCAGGGCACCCAAGGGTTGAGTTATCCAGAAAGCAAACCCAGATGCCAGCAACATGAAAGTAACAGCTTTGTTTTAAAGAGAAGCAATCTTGGCAGGGCTGGCGGGGCTCATCGGTGATCCCAGAGGGAAATACAGGTTTGCAGCTGGCTTCCTAATCACTACTCAGGCTGGCCCCCTCTGTTCGGCACCTGAAGAGTGAAAAGCTGATTTATTTTATCCTTGCCGAGATATGTGCAGTTGAAATACCTTCATCATAGACTCACAGGATGTTAATGCAATCAAGGGCCTTACCCATCAAAGGATCTAACCCCCATTACTTTCCCGGAAGAGTAAACTGAGGCCCAGAGAGGTTCGAGGACCCGTCCGAGGTTACAGAGAGTTAGCAATAGGCAGAACTACAACTTGGGGCTCCTGCTTCCTGGGCTGCTGTGTTTTCCGCCTCTTCTGGGAATTTGCTAGGTTTACGTTGGATCCTGCCCTTAGTGTGATTTTCAAAGGTGAAGCCTTGGGAGATCAGCACTTCACAAAAATGGATGCAAAGGCTCAAAGGAGGTCACAGGAAGTGGCTACTAAGACAGTGTTGTCAATCTGAGCTGGTTTTGCCTAGAAAGTGACATCTGTATAAATCCGGAAGCAATAGGAGTTTTCTGCATCAAAGGCAGATCAAGCCCTAGCTCCTTTGTAGGCTGTTCCTTTGTTCTTGGGACATTTCCAATTTCCCTTTTAGTTTTTGCTTCATAGAATTAAAATGAGTTGCAGGAAAGAGGTTCAGAAAGGAAACAGACAGCCCCACTAGGTCCTACAGCTTCCTGCAGTAGGTCATTTTACAGGCATCTTCAGAACAGCACTGCTGCTCACTGGGTCTGAGATGCAGGTGCCAGGGTCCTGGCCAGTGTCAAGTGATTGCAATTATCATTAGGCCTCATCCCTTGTTCTCTAGCCACTCCCACTCCCCCTGGCAGCTTCCTTCCAGGTTATCACCGCAAAAACACCTGAGCATTTAACAGGACTAAAATCCGGATCACTTGAATGTGATGAAGAAGTTCGCCACATCCAGTGTGTGGTTGGGCCAGTTCAGACACACCTGAGAGTTGCTGGAACTGCCTGTGGGCAGCTCGGCTTCCTCCATCTGACATCCCCAAAAGGCTACGCCTCCACACTCCTCCACCCAGCCTGACGGATTAGCAACATCTCCCACAAGTCATCCTGAACCTGTTTGTCGTGTCAGGGTAGGCCAGAATTACATTCTATGTAGAAGTTTCCTCTGCGCCAGGCACCCATACTGAGTGACTTGGAAAAACCCCATCCCCAAGACAGAAACATAAAACCTCAAAGTTCAGGACCTGAACAATCAGATGCCCTCAGGGGACTCTCACTGGCTTTGCAGTGATGTTACTTTGGAAGTATTTTTGAAAGAACTTGCAGCACAAAGCAGAAAGGAAGAGCGCAAACATGATACACCATAAAGATCTACAAAAAAACAAAGGAAAAAGTGCCTCTAGTACAGTAAAGGGAGTGGGAAAGAGCCGGGAGGGACCACAACCTCTGGCTTTCTCCACCTCCACGCCCCATCATTTCTGTGCTTCCTGAGTTCTCCCGCCAGACAGTGTTGGCAGCAGTGCAGTTACAAAAGAGGTCCTGAACATCTCCTGCAGTGTCTGGCCTCCGCGTGGGCCTGATAGTTACTAGACTTCATTAGACTGTTACTTTCACCTGCTTGGTGTGCAAAGCCAGGCTGTGTGCTTAATGACCGAGAGGACGCATTCTGGACCAAGATGCCTTTGATTGCAATTGCAGCTCTTCCTCCCAGCTCCTGGTTTGGAATTTTCCACCTGTGTGTTCTTACAATAGTTTCTGGGCTTTGGGGTTTGCTAGACCTGAATTCTAGGCACTGCCATTTACTAATTTGGCAAGGAACTTGGGCAAATTTCTAAAATTCTTTGTGCCTCAGTTTCCTCATATGTCATGCTGACAATAAATGTGTGCCACTGTAGTATTCATGAAAAGGACTAAAGGAAAAGGAAAGAACACTGCTTTCAGTATTTGCTCTAAGCAACCATTAAAAGATTAAGGAATTCAGCAAGATTCCAACTGACAGTCTATTTTCTCACCATTGCACCATTGAACTGGGCCTGTCGGAGAAGAACTAAGTGCTATTGGAGCTGGTCACAGGCAGGACTCCATGATGGCTCCCAAAGGTCCCTGGCCCCTGGTTATTCAATCAAACACTAATCCTGGTACTGCTGTGAAGGGATTTTGCAGATGTCATTAAAGTCTCAAATCTGTTAGCCTTCAAATACAGATTATCCAGGAGGGGCTGACCTAATTACAGGAGCTTTTTAAAACCAGAGAGTTTTCTCTGGCTGGTCACAGAAGGAGAAGTCAAAGAGATTCAAAGCATGAAAGTGATGCAATGCCAAGATTTCTCCATTAATGAAATGGAGGGGTCACGTGGCAAGGACCTTCGAAATGGCTTCTAGGAAATCCCCTGCCCACAGCCAGTGGGACAACGCGAATCTTAGTCCTACAAATGCAAGGAACTGAATTTTGCCAACAAGGAAGCTTGGAAGCAGACCTTTCCCTGGGTGAGCATCCAGCTGAGGATGCAGCCTGGTTGATTCCTTGATTTCAGCCTAAGAGATCCTGAGCAGAGGATCCAGCTAAGAAGTGTCAAAAACTATGAGACAGTAAATTTATGTTGTCTTAAGCCTCTCAAATTATGGTAATTTGTTACACAAGGATGGAAAACTAACATAAACCTCTCCTAAAAAGGATCTTAGGCTCACGCCTGTAATCCCAGCACTTTGGGAGGCCGAGGTGGGTGGATCATGAGGTCAGAAGTTCGAGACCAGCCTGGCCAACATGGTGAAACCCCCATCTCTACTAAAAATACAAAAATTAGCCAGGTGTGGTGGTGGGCACCTGTAATCTCAGCTACTCAGGAGGCTGAGGCAGGAGAATCGCTTGAACCTGGGAGACGGAGGTTGCAGTGAGCCTAGATTGAGCCATTGCACTCCAGACTGGGTGATCAAGACTTCCTCTAAAAAAAAAAAAAGGTTATTATACCAGGCTGTGTCACTTGTAGGTGTTATATTTGGTTGTGACTATACAAACCGTTGTTGGCTTTTTCCCTATCAATTCAGAGCCGGCTCCCAGTGCAAAGGAAAGAAAAGCTCATTCAAGACAAGAATGAGCTATAGGCCTGCACAAAAGTGGTGCCTCATTAACATCTCCAATAGTGTGTAGTCTGTGTGTGTTGATAATAGCTGTCTACAGCCTGCAAATAATGAGAATAGAACAGTGTTTTCCTCTATATATATCCCTCTAAAGCCGCATTTTATAAAATGTGTGCCAAATGAGGGAAGCTCAGACACCTGGCCTTGGAGGACTCCAGGACACTCAAGTCTTGAGATAGTTTTCTCTCCTTATGAAACAAGATAATGTTTGACTTTCATTTTCTGGAGGTTTTCAGTGAGTTGGACACTTCAGAAATATTTTGTGTTCCCACCCCTGGCTTCCCCAGAGGTTTTCCCTACAAGGACGTTCCCTCCTTGGCTGTCGTCACTGCACAGTGGCCATTTCTTCAGCACTAAGAAGGAGCTAAATGTGAAGCTAAACTTTCTCTCCTTCGGCTCTACCAGGATTGTCCTTGCATGGCAGGCAGGTGGCCTAGGCAGACATACATAGCTGGTAGCATAACATTAAGGTTTCTCTTAAGTTCAGTGAGCTTTTCTAAAACATTATTAGGACCTGGAGTTAGACTTGACAAACATGCAAAACAAGAACCAAAGCTGTTTCTACAACTGGGACCCAAAGAACATGAGATTTGATAAGCTGGTACCAAGAAATACTATCTTCAAGGGAAAAGAAAAACAATTTGCTGCAGAAATTTCTCAGATGGATGCACAGACTCCTTGTCTTTGAACCTGTGTAAAGATTTTAGTGAGATCTAGAAGGTTCTTCCCGGTGAAGATTTTTATTGGCATCAAAACAAGAACCCCAACAGCAACACAGATCCCCGACACCGCTGGCACAGAAAGCTCTGCTGCCTAGAAGTGCCTTCGGATTGACAGAGCATTTTCATGGGAGAGCCACCTGAGAATATTTTTTTCTAGATGCCCCAGGCTATGCCACAGGCAGATGGCCCACGTACTGAGCAGAAGGGCACCAGGACAAGGTTCACTGGGGCAGCATTTTAAGGAGAATATACGAATAGAGCGGTGGTGCTGCATCACAAGGTCCTTCTCTGGTGCTGTGACAGGAAGGTCCCTCTAGGCTCCTCCTACTGGGACACATTCCAACCACCCAGCCCAGTCTCCCACCTCCTGGCTGGAGGTTGCCCTGATTTACCATTCCACCTCTCCCTCTGACAACAGGAATGGATGTGCTGGTATTCATCCTCCCAGGCACCCACTGTGGGTTTGGGAAAGAGCCTTCTGTGTTCTTCTCACCAGTCAAGCGTGTGAAGGAGGAACTGAAAAGGCCTTGGGAGCCGCTGGGCCTAGAAAAATTCCCAGTCAATCCATCACCTGCCTCCTCTGGAGCAGGGTCTGTCAGTCTCTCCATCATTCCTGGGGCAGGTCGAGTGGAAATGAGGGGTGTGTGTGTGTGTGTGTGTGTGTGCGCGCGCGCGCGTGCGCGTGTGTATGTGTGTGTGTGTGTGTGTGTGTGTGGTGTCTAAACGCAGAACAGGACTGGTAACAGAAGTGCAGGCGAGAGGGCGTGGGAGACTGGGAACTCATTTATAAAAGCTCTTCTGCCCTAGAGCAAGTCAAACTCCCTGCTGAGGAGTTGCTTTTTCTTCCTCCCTTTTGAGTCTTGTGTGCTGAACTGACCTCTCCCCTGGCAGAGGTCAGCGCTCTGCTCACCCCGCACACACTCAGCCTTCTGGGGTTTGATCGCCTTAGAGCCTGAAGAGGAGAGAATTCTTCAGCTCTAAATTCTGAGAGAAAAGCCACAGTAAATCTCGTGAAGAAGCTGGGTTTTTTTTTTTTTTTTAAAGAAATATGTATACACATTATGATAAAAATCTTTTGGGAACTGTGCAGAAAACAGAAGGCAAACATAAAAACCATACATCATTTACAGCCCCTCCCGCAGCCTACTTCACTCTGAAAATAAATCAGGCTGGGTAACGAATGAGGTTTTAAGAAATGCAACTGAACTTAAAACACAAGGTCAGTGTCTCATCCTAGGTAATCCTTTGGAGGATGAGAAATTCTCCTGATTTTCCCACAGGGTTATTTCAGATGCAATTTCTGAGCCAAACTATTTTAAAAGCGTTCATTCTTTCACTGCCCTGCCAAATGCTAACTAGAGATTCACATGCACTTTTAGAGAGCCTATTAATGATATTAACGATCATGATCAAAGGCAAACCCCAGAGGTTTATGTAAAATTTCGGACAATTATTTAGGTGCTTTAAGACCCATCTTCTGAACGAGGGTAACAATTTCTCAATGTTGGCAAAGACTCTCATCTTTGTGTTTGGATGTGTAGGCTCTAAAGCAGCAGAACCAATGTAGAGGGGCCTTCAGAAGAAAATAAAATGCATCTCTTTGTAAGATTAAAATGTATGGCTGTTGACTGACAACTTGTCCCCAAAGCCATTCTTACTCATTTACTTGAAAGTAGGTGGTATACTTCTGATTTGCAGAAAGCCCCTCTTCTGAGAATACTCAGCTGACTGGCCCCTCTACTAAAGATACTCAGCTGACCCTCTCTTTTAACATCCGCTATTTACAGGCACGCTCCACATTTTTAAACAACAGTTCTGAACTATGGTGTCTCCTCAGAATCATTATTTGATGAGCTTTAAAAATCCCAACACCCAGGCCAAGCCTCAGGGATTCTGATTGAACTAGAAGCTATCCAGTTAGGTGGCCAGTGTAGAGAATCATTTTCAAACAGATGGAGAAATTAATACGTGAGAGGGGTATGTTTATCCCGATACACTAAAAGCTGTGTTTGGCACTTAAACTATTAGAGATAATTTTATTTGACAGATGAAGAAACTAAGGCCTGGGAGCTTACATGACTTGTACCAAAATACATAAAACCAATTAGTAGCAAAGCAGCAGCCTGGACCCAGGGATTGCAGCTTGCAGCCTCATGCTATTATGCAGTCCCCAGATCCCAAGCCCAGCCCCCATGGCCAGGGCAAGGCATCTTTCCTGTGGGTTAGGCCAGATGGCAGGCCACCATGACCAAAACACTAGGAAGAAATGAGCTATGCCTCATACACTGCGGTGGTTCTCAGCATTGCATGCACAGCTATTCCAACCTGATACTGACATGCTTCTGTAAAGTTATGTACAAAACTACAGAAGTTAAACAAACAAACAAAAAACAAACTACAGAAGTGTGCAATACTGAAATCAAAGGCAGCGTAGGCAGTCAGCCCAGGACTTCATCACTCTGAGTAAAGATTATATCCACTTGGAAAACAGAAATGAATCCATTTGGGGAATGTCAAGATTCTTGGAAAGGAGTCAAAGTGCCGTAGCTTAATCCGGCCAAAGGGGTCTATCTTAGCTCAGAGCTGGGAGCAGAATTGGGAACAAGTCCACTTTGTATGCACCCCAAAATCTTATAGGTCAATTTAATCCAAATGCTTCATGCTGGGTTTTCACTGCCTAAATCTATAAGGCCAATGGTTAAATGGAAAGCCCCTTTGATTATTTTACAAAGTATTCAAAACTGCAGGATTATTTCAATAAAGAAAACACTTCTTACAAATACAGCATAATTTAAAATAGCATGTTCAGAAAAGGGCAATATAGATATGTTTTTTTGGGGTTAATTCACTTGTTTTTGAAGAACAAAAGCATACACACTAATTTTTTAAAACAATTTTACTCTTTATTCATAAAACAGGACATTTATGTCAAAAGGTACTCTTACGAATAAAGAGTAAAACAATTTTTACTTAGGCATGCACAACTATTGAATTATTTAAAGAGTTTAAAACAAAACAAATGAGAAGCTAAGGAAAAAAGCGCTCTCCTGGTGACTTACTGCCATGTTTGGCTCTTTAACTTGATTGAAAAAAAGTATTTGGGGGATCTGTCCAATTCACACCTTCTTTTCCCCGATCAAATACTTTAGAGTTAAACATATGGTTTTTTGATTTTTGCTCAAGCAAAGAATTAAAATTTTTGATAAGGAACTGTAAGGTAATACGATGTATGGTAATATTATGCTGCCAAAGGAAACATTTTAATATGATTAAATTCAAGCCCAATGCCGGGTAGCTCTAGATAATTAAAGACAATTTTATCCATTCAAGTCCCCTCTGTTAAACTGCACATTGACACATATTTGTTCCCTGTTTTGTTAAATAAATATGGAAACCAAATTAGAGGGAGTCCTGCAGATTTCTGAGAATTTAATTATACCCTTAAATTGCAATACCAATGATATATACGGTTAGACTTCTGTTCTAGGTAATTACCTGAATTAACTTCATTTTACAACACTTAATTTATTTTGTACTAAGGAAGGCTTTTAACTATTTAAGATAAACCAGTCTAATTTTGACTTTTTTACTTGCTTCAACGTGTTTCAATTCATTAATGTTTCAATAATAAGGAATGAACTCTCTTGTCTTAACAAACCAAGCATGAAAATTTCCTCATAAAAGAAGAAATTAAAATGATTTCCATATTCAAGTCACAGCATGCTGAAAAGAGAATTTTGGGTTCTTAGGAAAGCCATCGTCACCTCCAAAGGAGGGCCACCCATTACAGTTTTGTGGAAATATTATAGCAGGGCCTGCCAAGAAGGAATTCAAGGAAACTGGGAATGGCCACACCATTCTCTTGAGCAGAGGTTTCCTTCCCTTATGTGTTCTGCCCTCGCCAAGCTCTTTTCTGAAATCAAAGGCCACTGATACGCACAACAATCCATGCTAAAATCCAAACATGACACCAAAAGCAAACAGTTACACTGTGATCCCATTTTGGTCCCCAAGCTGTATTTTGAGATCTTTCAGAGATAAGCTATAGTCTCCATAAATCAAACTACAGAGGGTGTTTATGATTGTTGCTTTTTATAAAATAAAATACACTTCTATACTTCTATAGTATTAAAATAAGTGAACAAAAGAACTGCAGCCCTTACTCCCCCAGTCCCCCACCCCCAAACGCTTGCTCCTTTGCATTTCACAGGTCATATGCATATCTGGATGACAGTTAACCTTTAGTGGCAAAGATAAGAAAATGTGAAAGAAAAATCATAGATTGTGTAATCCCAGCACTTTGGGAGGCCGAGACGGGTGGATCACGAGGTCGAGAGATCGAGACCATCCCGGTCAACATGGTGAAACCCTGTCTCTACTAAAAATACAAAAAATTAGCTGGGCATGGTGGCCCGTGCCTGTAATCCCAGCTACTCGGGAGGCTGAGGCAGGAGACTTGCCTGAACCCAGGAGGCGGAGGTTGCGGTGAGCCGAGATCGCGCCATTGCACTCAGCCTGGGTAACAAGAGCGAAACTCTGTCTCAAAAAAAATCAAAAAAAAGAAAAAGAAAAATCATAGATTGTTCCCAGACCTTTCTTGTTTATGGACACTGAAATAACCTCAACACCAATATATTAAGATGTCACCTGAAAGCACATGGGAGTGGCTTAGAATTCATGACACTGAGAAAGTTAGGAAAATCGAAGTTACAATATCAATGGAATTGGATCATTGACTTCTCCAAGATTGGAGTCACAGGGACTTGAATATAATTTGGGGTACCAGGTAAGTGGTTGAGTAACTTGTCCTTTTTGACTAGAATACTGACAGTGTTTCACTTTCAGATGCCAAATTATTAAGATCATTAAGAATATCAAAACACATACCATTCCCTACAGTGAGAACCCTTCATTTCCTACCTAATAAGCAACAACAACAACAAAACCCTGGCATCCATTTACCCCTTTGCACTTCCAAATATCCAAAGAATCACACAACCATTCAAAAAACAAGAGATCCAGGGGCGTTTCAGACATGTGCAAGAAAAATGCTTAAAGGCAAAATTCCTCAAACACATGCCACAGTGTGGGAACTGAGAGCCATTTCCTCTGTAAACCCTGTTCAAATCCCTTTTACATGAAGGGATGTGAGGGCTGTGAGGAAGACCCCATCTATCTAACCAAAGATGCTATTTTCCCTCTTAGATCACAGTAATTGTCACATCCCCAAATATAACAAACTCTAAAGCCAAGACTTTTCTTGACAGAGAATCATTCTAAGTATTAGCCTTAACCACCAAGCCCAGGTTAGCTAATGAAATAAAAACTTCTCAATACCAGAGTGACACTTCGGAGAAAAGATGAGAAACAAAAAAACTTCTTAACAGAAATTTTCTCTGGTGGCTCCAGCTCAGATATCTCCCCCTAGTTCTGGAGCAGGCAGGGATTATTGTTCTAGTACGGATGTCGTTTCAATTCGAGACTCTTTTCCAGAGAGCTGCTTCTTCGCCTATCCCCTGGGTTATTACTTGTGTCCTCCCTGTTTAGAAATCGTTCTAATTGTTTCTGTTTAAGAAGATTCAATGACACACTGCGGTGCTGTCTTCAATAAAGAGCACACCTAGAATACTGTTGTTCCTAAGAGAGGGGACTACGGTGGGCTGTGGAATGCTCATTCTACCAAGTACTGCGGAGGATTCCACTCTGTGCAGTCCACCCTATTATTGTATAAGCAGAGTCAGCACCACTGAAGTTAGCATTCTATTGGGCTCCCTCATCTCCTATAGAATCTCTTGATTGGGTTCAACTGGGAGCAGGATAAAAGCCAGCAGGGACAAGGACAGGACACCAGTTGGCAGGGCTGTTTCATGTGGGGATGGTGAGGCTGGATCATGGAAGAGGGACAGGTTTCCAGGCAGGGTTTGGAGTGTCAAAGTTACAGTATCTACCTCCACAGCCAGGCGTGGTGACCAAGACTGAACTTCATGACCCAAAATGGGGCCATGAAATATGGCTGCTGCTTCATGAGTCTTACTGAGTCTTAATAAGTAGGGACTGGAGATACGGGGAAGGACAGAATGAGATGGAAGAAACCACTAATCCAGCTCAAGCATGAACCTACACTATGTCTGTTTCTGTATTCTTTTCATTTTGTTGGGCTTTTCTGGGTGATTTTTCTGTTAACTTCAACACTTTAGGGAATATACTTGGTTTTCCCTATTACTTAGGAGAGGTGCTATTTCAAAGGCCCACCCTATGTTGAACAGAAAATAAAAAGATGTACTAAATAAATGGACCTTGAATATTGTTTCCTTCCTATTTCAGAATGAAACTGAGTTAAGGAAATTTTTAGCAGGTGTCCATCCAAAATAAGTCATTGCTATAATTCACTATGTGACATTTCAGCGAGCCCACCAGAGACAGTGGCAGACTGTAAAGGGAAGGCTCCCATTTTGAAATATGAACTGCCTGTGAAGCTTTCCAACTGGGAAACTGGAAACTAGTCACTGAGTTCTCGTTAGGTTCTGGTTTGTCCCAAACCAAAATCCTGCAGGTGGGCACAAGAGGAGGGACTGGGACAGGCTTGAGCTATAGGCAGCAACAAGCCTCTCCAATGTCTTCCCCTCATGCTGGGAAGAACTACCCACCAACTTCAACAATTATAGGGGTAAGTAACAGCTTTCTGGGTACTATGGCTGCCATACTGAAGAACCCGGGAAGAGAGTAATCCATACCCCCAACCCAAGTGTTTTACAAGTTTGAGAGAGTCCAAGGGGATGCATGTCCACATCTGCCTCCATCTGACGAGCAGGAGACCATGGCAGCCAGGTTGGAGGAAGCACCGGGGAGTGTTCCATTAGTCCAGTGGTTCTCAAACTCGAGCCTGTTTCAGAATCACCCAGAGGTAGTTACTTAGCAGGGGCAGGGCCCAATAACCACATTTCTAGCACATTTCCAGACAAGGAAGCTGGTCCCAGGACCACATACTGTTCCTCCACTGCCCTACTACTCAGGCTGAGGAGTGGGAGGATGGATTGTACCCCTGGAGCTGAATGGCAGCGTGGTGGTACTGTCTCTGTGTGGTCCACTGCATAGTGATGTCCCAAGAAGGGGCTCATGATCAGTTTCTTCATGCAGTCCTTGCATACTCTCCTTCCTGACAAGGTGGATGGCTCTTTGTCATAATACCAATTCTCTGAAGACAGGCATAAAATACAATGAGAAAGTAGCACTGCTGTTAGAACAAGCATATAGCCTCCTGATTTGAAATGCTTTGACAACAAACCATAGCCACACAACACAGATAACATACTTCCTATTTAAATTAATCATTCTAATAAATTCCTTTAAAATTCCGGCATCTATACACACAGCTCTCTTGTCACAGGTTTGGCCCACTACGTCCTCAACTCCAGCGCTGCAATCCTCTTTGGTGTTAGTGGCCCCTTTCATATTTCTTTCTTTTCTTGGTTGGGCTGTTCTGAATTGCAGATAATCTTGCAGTGTTTGTGGCTGAGCTGGTTTGCTGTGCCTGCCCTGGGTTATTTTTCATAAGATGTCTTGAGGAGAGACTTTCCACAACATGCAACTCTTCCTTAGACGTGGTTTTTTGCCAAATCTTGTTTCAAAAGTAACCCGGATCTAACAACTCTAAAGCTGGCAAACCCCTAACAGTTCTGCTTTTTTCCACTATTATTTCTCTTGGGACTAATCGATCGCTTCCAGGAGAAACTCTCTTGTGGTGGTCGAAGTCTTCCGCAGGGCTGCAGTTCCTTCGTTTCTGTTGGGTTTGGGCCACTCGTGGACTTTGTTTTGGACCTGCTGATGCTGACTCACAGCTACAGACAGGGCTCCCGCTTAGAAGCCCTGTCTGTAACCGCTCCCCAGGATGAGGTTTTTGCTGGCCGCTAGTGTCTTCTGGCTGGGTCTGATTAACTTTTTCCAGCTTTTGAACAGGAAGCCCCCAGTGGCTCTCAGCTGCCTTTATGTAATCCTTTGCTTGTCCTGTGGATTCTGATGGGGGACTGGAGGAAGCCTGACCATTATTCCTCCTCCTTGCTATCTCTACAATCACTGAGTCACTAGATGTTTCCACAGTATCTCTTCTGGGCTGTGATTTGCTCATGACACTGCTTTTCGTTTCAGTTCTTTTCACACTGAAACAAACAAAAATGATGTTATGCTTTGTAAAGCTGTCACGGCACTGTTTTCTCCAAATTCCCTCTACCACATTTCCTTCAACCGAAAAAGGAGGCATGTACTCTCTACCTGCCTTCTCGCCTCCCCAGCAAAACTAGAAACACCCACCACCACAAGTGTATGTTTAAATGCAGATTGAATCAAGCAAACGCCTTCACGTTTTCCATTATACTAGGATACACTTGCTTATCAATCATTGGGTTAAAAATGGATTTATGATGGTGTTCACATTTTAACTCAGGCAAATAGGTATTCATTTCCGACGTGAAGGGTCAGTACTGCCTATGTTTGATATACTGATTTTTTTTTTTCCAGAAGCAGACTCAGGCTCTGTGTACACACATGTGCACGTACACATAATTTCTATTTGTGAGTAAAGAATAATCTTCTGGAATTTCTCTCAGGCTATTTCAAGATGTTACCCAAATACAATCACCATTTAGCTGGTGTCAGGTTTGTTGATCAAACTTACGGGAGAGGACTTAGTTAATATAATTTGAAATGTCCTGGAAGAAATTTCAGATAGCCAGCATGAAAGGCAATAAAGTCCAATCATGGAAGACAAGAAAGTGTTGATATAGCTGTAAATAAGCCCCTTGCTTCCTACAGCATCCATGACAAACAATGTCAACTTCACTCTGATGACAAAGTTAACTTAGAGGGGCAGGATAGAAGCGGCAGAGGGAGAATCAGAGACTAAACACCTTAACTTCACCATATATTTACAGGTTTGTGAATGGCAAGAAATTTCCTCAACCACCAAAACACTGAAAGCTGAAATATTTATTTTGGCTAAACTTTAGTGTGAAAACAAATATATATATATAATATTCATGCTCTTACTGTTGACAGCAGGAGCATGAGGATTACCGTAATTATACTGAAGTCGGAACAAGGATCTTAGGAAAGGAATGTGTTTTTTAGATCTGTCTGTAGTCCCTCCGAAAGCGGCATGAAACACACCACCAACAGGTGCTTTTCATCTTCAAAGAACGTGTCATTAATTACTCCTTGCAACACACCTGTGAAGCAAGGACTCTATCCCCATTGTCCAGAAAGCAAGAGAGACAGGAAGGAGGGGAGAGCAAGTATGCGTTGGAGGGGAGTTTGTGCTTCAGTTCCAGGCACTCTGTTGAATTCTAGACTTCATGTTATCTATCCGTACATAGAGGCAGTCAAAATTGAGAAAAAGGAAACATATTGCACCTACATTTCTTTCAGAGCATTTCTCCGGAGCTTTGCACTGGGAGGAAGTGAACTCTCTGCACACTCAGCAAAGTAATCAGACACTCCATGGAGAACTCTTTTTGTCTACTCGAAAAGATAACAAAGGTTCAACCAGAAATCTATTAGCTGAACATGAGAGAAAACAGTTACACTCTGAATGCCCCAATGAACACATTTATTTTTGTAGAGGCTGAATGAAACTGCTCAGTGGTAAGCTATTTTAACCTTTTTTACCTAGGACTTGATGGTTAATTGTAACTTCTTCTGGACTCCCAATCCACACATTTCATACATTAATATGCGCCATAAACATACAAAGCTGTAATGCCGAGAATATTGATTCCAAACCATCTGGGAACTCTTGGCCAATATCCGATATCTGTGAGGCTCAGGCTGTGACAAAAGCCTCAGAATCCCTGTGCGGGGCAGCAGCGTGCCTGTGAGCTGTTCTTACAGCAAGACCTGGTGGCACAGTGGTCTACACCATTATCATCCTAAGAATTCCCCACATTTTCTCTGTCTGCAAAAATAAAGAATGTTTTGTAACACCTGGGACCATAGCAACGGTCAAATCTTTTCATATTGGTATTCTGAAAACTGGAGTTTGTGATTCTTGGCTATCAAAACACTCAGGACTTTTTTCCTTATACTAATCACCACTCTGGTTTTATGTAATTCAAAGATTATCTGCCTATCTATCCTTTTGTGTTCCCATGGAAGCATCATAAGGAAGTAATTATAAAATGTAGAAGTCTACTTGCCTTGCCAACATTAACCCACTTCATACTTTTGGAATCTCTTCTCCTTTTGGTTATCAAGTAGATAATCCAGACAAGGTGTTAACTCCTGTCGTTTAAGACACTAAGTATTCTTCCCCATCAAATTTCAATAAAATGTTGCTACCACTCAGAACAGCTTTAGTAAGCTGTGAGTAGGTTCTTGCTTTAGACATTGGAATTAGCAGTGACAGCCCCAGAGCACCTGGTAGGTGGCAGCCATGAGTACCATGCCTGGTTATCCTACAGGCGGAGGAAATGTGCTTTGCCTAATCACTGCCCTGCACCACTGAGGATGGGCTCTCTTCAATTGTGACTATCTGTCTCAGACCTGGCACAGTGTCACTCAAAGTCATATCTTGTTATAATCCAAGTCAGTTCTAAGCTAGGGAACAGAATATTCTAGGTTTTATTGGATTATATTCTTTTTTTTGTTTGTTTTCTAAGACTTAGTAGTTGGCGAAAATTAGTGACAGCTTAAAAGTCAAATAAGAGAAAGAGATGGAAAGAAATTGAGATTTATGTGTGAAACACTTCTAAACATGCCCTATAAGTACAGTAGATTTTCCCCTTACAACCACACCCTGTAAGTGCTTTATTTTCAGAGCTGAACAATTAACATAAGGAGCATGAGTCAGGCTTTGAACAACTCTGTGGGAACCAGAAAGCCTTTTGCTATTAGGAATGATGTAAATTCCCCAAGGCTGGAAGAAATCCACAATGGAAGGCAGACAGGGTCATAAATAACAACAATGAATCCTGCATATACCACATAAAGTATGATTCTGTGACAGTGACACTCTCTTCAAATCTCATATTAAATTCAATCACTGCTTTTATTTATTTTAAAATTCAGTTTAAAGAGCACTATGCATTTCCTATGGGAACTTCAAAAACTCCGTTAAGAAGCAGAGCAGTCAGCTCTCATCCCAAATTCCTCTGACAACAATGGAGGAAAATGTCCTTGGAAGAAAAGGGACAACAGAAGAGGTGACAGAGTGACAGGAGGAAATGTCCTGTTCAAAAAGTGTAAAATCTGTGACTTAGATTAAAAAAAAAAGAAGAAGAAAAGAAAAAAGAAGAAAAGAAAGGCAAGGCGGGGTCTCTTGCTTACAAATTAAAACCACATTTGGCAATTTGTTGAAGGAGGCATATTTACATTTGTATGAAGACTGGGTGGGCAGGAAAAAAAAGATTAGACTCCCTCTTCAGCCCCTGAGCTGTCAGGTCTCATTAAAAATCTCTTACTCTAACATTTCTAGGGTCAATTCACTCCCCTTTGTCACTAAATCAGAGCCTCCAGTGCCGCTCCCTGCAGCCCCCAAACAAGTATTCCTAAGGAAGCAGCTCTCACCTGGGAACAGGATTTCCTAAAGGGAGTCATACTGATTACTAATGGCTTCTAACATCTGGCATCAAAATGCAATCTGAGACTTATCCAGAGGCACAATGCCAAGGTACAGATATATAATGTGTGCCAGGAGGGTTGCAAGTACTTTCTGGGCTTACGAGGAGGACCCTACTACTTTTCAGATTCTGCCATGAATAATGAACCCATCATATTTTGCAAAGAATGGAGGTAAATCCAACGTATTCAAAGAGGCCACCAAACAGTTGGCTATCCAAAGTCCAAAATGAGGACTCATTCTGAGATCATGGGGGCTCAGGTATTTAAAAAATAGATTAACCAACAGGATCTCTTAGGGTCTTCATAAATGATTCCTTAACACCTGGAAGCTAGCTCTTTCTTAGGCCAAGGAATAAAATTCTACAAGTATCATTCCTTGGCATACTCCTTTCCCAGCCATCTGCCTCACCCTCACCCTACCTCCTATTTGGTTTTACTTTTTGGTTATACTTCGAAGATTTTCGATTCACAAGTTTTTCTCTATAAGGAGTGTCAGTACATAGTTCTAGGGCAAAACCAAACAGAAGCAGGGCAAGGCCCTGGTCTCTAGGGAGATACCCTCCCTCAGCAACCTAAGCAGTCTAGGCAGGCCACAGGGCAAGGGGTCAGGACTTTTTGCCATCTTTGGGGGTAGTCTGGAGACCAGTGAATGTACCCCAAGGTTGAAGACAGTCAAAGCACATGTCCCAGTACAGTATTGAGGGGAAGGCCAAACAGATGAATGAGGATGACGATGGGTGATATTACCCTAATCCTGTATGGGCTGACCTGGGAAACACATTTTAAATTCCAGGATAGAAAGGACTGCAAATAGAGTCCCCACCAGGATAAGCTCGTTGACTAAGATACCCTTGTCTTTAATCAGAAAACAGGTTGATTTGAGTTGCACAACATACTGAGCGAGGCGCAGTGGTTCCTGCTTATAATCCCAGCACTTTGGGAGGCTAAGGTGGGAGGATAGCTTGAGTTTAGGAGATTGAGACCAACCTAGGCAACCCAGTGAGCCCTAATCTCTACAAAAAATTAGCCAGGCATGGTGGTGTGCACTTATAGTCCCAGCTACTCAGCTGACTGAGATGCATCACTTGAGCCCAGGAGGTCAAGGCTGTAGTTAGCTATGATTGTGCCACTGCATTCCAGCCTAGGTTACAGAGTAAGGCTTTCAGAAAGGAGAGAAAGGAAAGAAAAGAATAAAAAGAAAGAAAAAGAACAGAAAGGAAAACAAAGAAATACTGTGCAATGTTTAAGTCCCAAAGGCACCCTGAAACTGTGGATAAACCAAGGAGTTCACCCCACACTGACTTACTAAAAACCGGATTTGAACAGAACACTGTTGGATTAATGGGAGATAGGGAGAGGAGTTGGCCTAAAACAGCAGAGAAAACACCTGCTCTTGAGCTTTCAACCTCCTCACAAAGTCTGTAAAGTACAGGAGGGGCTCCCACAGGCCAGTGGAAAGACTGCATCAGAGGCACAGAGGGATCCTTTTGAAAATAGAGATTCCCAAGACCCATCCCTGGAAGTTCTGATTCACAAGATCTGGGGTGGGGCGAGGACATCTATATTTAGGTTCCCAGGTGATTCAAAACTGCTGATATACATAAAACAACACTCAGCAAGCAAAGCAACAGATAAACACAAACTGGTACAATGAGACAGCCTTTTGCAAAGTGTGGTCTGTTTATCCCATGCACCAAAATCATGTGGGGGGTATGTTAAAAAATGTTTTAGATTCCATCCCAGAATTTGGATCTCTAGGAAGTGGCGTCAGGGCATGCACATTTTAGGCAAGCCCCTCAGTGATCCTGATACCCTCTGCCCCAAAGGCACACAGAATTGATAACTGAGCAGAATCCTGCAGAATAATCCAATCAGGCAATACTGAACTCTGTACCAGACATTGCTTGAGGCCCTTGAGGGAAAAGACCTCACTTTCATGGAGTCCCTATCTCAATGGGGAAGACAACAAACAAACATATGTCTGGTGGTAATGACGTTATGAGGAGAAATAAAGATCTAAAGGGCCTTGGGGTGCTATTTTAGATCTGGTGGTCAGGATAGGCTGTGGTAGCTAATAAGAACGGCTTTACACTGAGACCTGAGTGAAGGACAAGCTACAGGCTACAGGAGCAGATAGGGAAGAGCATTTCAGGCAGGGGGAAGAGTGAACACCAGGGCTCTGAGGGCAGGGTATGCCTGAAGGTGCAGAAACTGGAGAGTAAACCAGGGGAAGAGGTCAGGAAGCAGGAAGGAGGGGTGTGTGTGTACTGGTGGTGAAAAGGCAGATCTTGTGTGACTTTTGTAAGGATGCCATAGTTTATTGTGAGGAAGATGATATGCCCATGGAAGGTTCCTAGAAGAAAGGGGACTTGACATTTTAAAAGGAATACCTTGGGCACTGTAGAGGGGCAAGGTTAGATGGAGGAAGACTAGTGATGAGGCCTAGGCAATGATTGATTCATTCAGAGATGATGGGTCTTGGAGAAGGTGAGAGGTGGGGAGCAGTGGTTAGACTGGAAATATAATTTGATGGGAGACCCAACAGAATGTGCTGCTGGACTCAATACAGGGAGTGGGAGAAACAAATGTCACTGGTGACTCCACACTCTTTGGTTTAAACAACTGGATGAAGGAAGTTGGCCTTTACCAATGCAGAAAACAGCAAATTTAGGGTCAGGCTTAGGGGAAGAGGACCAAGAAATCAGTTCTTTAGGTGTTGCTATGGTATGACTGTGTTCCCTCCAAAATTCAGGTGCTGTCAGTGTGATGGTGTTAAGGGGCGGGGCCTCGAAGAGTTAATTAGGCCTGAGGGCTCCACCCTCATGAATGGGATTAGGTATCTTTATAAAAGGGCTTGAAGGAGAGAGCCCTTCCACCTTGTGGGGACACTGCTCCTCCTT